TCATTCTTAAGAGACCGAGGAATATTTCATGATATTCCGTCCATTAACGTTTCAATTTGTTTGTCAAAACCATCAAAATAAGATATTTCATAAAAGCGTTAACCAAAAAGTGAGTCGCTCGGAGGAATTATGACTTTATTTGTCTGAACTTTCAAACTCTTACTGGAGTCCATCATCAGAGATAAGAGGGGCAACGAGAAACAATCAACCACCTGTGACTTCAGTCTGGAGGTGACTGTGAGGGACTCTTCATGGTGGCGCCCGATCAATAAATCGATTTACTGAGTTCTAATCTGAGACCAGGGTCCAAGCAATACCCGGGGTGTCTTGTTTCCGGCGTGGGCAGCCCAGTATTCAGTATTTAAACCCCATTTACATAATCTTTCAAGAGACTGTTCAATAATTATATATCGACCTCTATCCCCGATGTCCTCTTGGAGTAAGTAAATTTACTCATCGAGGTATTCCATGCGTCGCAGTTGTCATACGTGTATGCAGTGCAACGACGGGAGCCAACCGTCCGTGCCCTTTTCCTTGGACCTAATTTCTGTGTTTCCTATTTACTCACTTCCCACCTTTAAAATGCGTCCGATGTTCAAACGCCATTTCCACCTGCATCCCGCTCTACATTTTCAGGGCATTGCGCCACCAAAGGCTCAGGCAGTGGATCGCTACTTCTTCAATGACACCTCGAAGGAATGCCAAAAGTTCCGCTTCGCAGGCCGACTAACCCGTGGAAATAACTTTGAAAGTGAGGCTGTTTGCCATCAGGTCTGCCTAGCAACCCTCAACCTGCATCCCGTGTCGGTGAAGATCAACCGAATGTCCACCTCCCTAGAACTGCTTGCCTCTCAACTGCAGAAAGCCGAGGAGACACCTGTTCTGCAGTTTGGAAGAAACTTTACAAGTACGTTCATCGCTCTGTTCACCAACTATTCATATTTTCCTGGGGTGGCAGACGGTACTGGTGAATCAGCACCACAACACCACTGCCGAAGACCCTGTCACTAACGCCTGGGTTGCGGTCTACCCTTTACAGGCGCATTAAGTGCCCACATGTACAGGGCGTAGCAAATGGGCGCGCCAGCCACCTGTGTGTAACAGTTCAATTTAGGTCAACAAACAGCTTATTTAAAGAATAGATTATTTCACGAATTGAGGCAAATGTTCGCATCCCAGGTA